AGAGGGATGGGAAGAAAAGTGGAGCGGCTGTTCTTCGAGCAGGCCTAGATGCCAGTGATTCTCGGAGGGTCGTCCCAAAAGGCCTCTTTTATGATGAGAAATTACAAATCCTTTTATCTTCTTCACCAGAGGAACAGCTTGTTTGAATTGCTGGGCTGTCACACTGGAATTAGATGCAAGAACACCTCCCTCCCCCCCCTCCCCAAATCCATGACGTAGCGAAGAACTTACATAACGTAACTAAAAATAAGGTGATGGAGATGCAGAGAGAGAGAGAGGCAACCCTCTTTTCCCGGACTCTTGAGCTGAAATCCTCTGGCACGAGGTGTTGGGGGCTGGATGAAGGAAGAACATCCCCCCCCAGCCTCCAGAGCAGCCCAAGTTTGGGATGGAGCAGGGAAGGGGACATGGACACAGCTGAGCATCCCTCCTGGGAACATCTCCCAGGTCCCTCCTTGAGGTTACCTCCCACTGATGCTTCTTTTTTCAGCCCTGGTGGGAAAGGGTTAAGCGGCCTCTCCAGAAAAAAAAGGAGAAAAACCCTTTTTCAGGGGTGGGAAATCCTTCTCTCTCCTTTGGGAGTGTGAAACCTCCGAGGGGCAGAAGCCAAAAAGGGACCCAAATGCGGCCAGTGGCCGCATTTGGGTCCCTTTTTGGCTTCTGCCCCTCGGAGGTTTCACAGCTGGGATGGAGAACAGGAGGCAGAAGGGGAATAGGAGGTTTGGGGCCAAGGTATCGACCATCTGGGGTTCTCGGAGCTGCTTCTTCTCGGAATTGATGGAGGGAGAAAAAGGCACTGGGCTGCTTAACTCTTTCGCCGCTTCTCACAGGAGGGAGAGGAAGGAGAGGGCAGGGATGAAGCCACCGTTGGCCTCCAGATGTTCCTCCTCTGGGTGGCCACAAGCCCCTGGGACACTCGGGCAAGGCAGGGGGATGTGGGTGCTGGCTCTGGGACACGGTCCCACTCCTTAGGTCCCTCAGGAGGTGTGAAAAATGTGGTTGTCGCTGGCCTGAGGGATGGGAAGGACAGAGATCCATAGCTTTGTAATCCCTGGTGGCCAGGAGGGATGGTGAGGACCTCCCGGGGGAATCCCAGTGCCTCTGGGGAAGTTGAATCCAGTTCTCCCAGCTGGCCAGGCAGTGGGACAGTGAGGGGACAGCAAGGGGACAGCAAGGGGACAGCAAGGGGACAAGCAGGGGCTGCTTCTCCTCCTACCCAGGCTGGTCCCCCCCAGCTGAGCCCTGTTCCAGGCTGAGGACCATCACCACGAGGTGCACTTTGGGGACTGCTCACCCCACCTTTGCTCTCCTGGATGGTGTCCACCATCTTTCCCCGTATAAACCCAACACTGGCTGCTCTGCTCCTCACCCGTCCCACCCCACAACTGGGGAACGGAGCACAGCACCAGGCCTGGGGGGTACGGTGAGGGTGGTGGGGTTACAGCAGGGGCATGAGGTGGCTCAGGGATGGGGGGTACAGCAAGAGATACAGGGTGGGGGAAAGTGGGGGTATCGTATGGAGTGTGGTGGGCTACAGTA